CAAGTGCTGAGCATGCTTCTCATGGCTACGCGAGTACACCAAGATATCATCTATAAAAACAATAACAAATGAATCCAGATACGGCCGAAATATACTGTTCATCAAGTGCATGAACGCGGCTGGGGCATTAGTCAGCCCAAAAGACATAACCAGGAACTCATAGTGCCCATATCTGATCCTGAAGGCGGTCTTCATAATATCCGAATCCCTGATCTTCAGCTGATGATAGCCTGAACGGAGATCAATCTTTGAAAATACCCTTGCCCCCTGGAGCTGGTCAAACAAATCATCAATACGAGGTAGTGGATACTTATCCTTCACTGTCACCTTGTTCAACTGTCTGTAATCAATGCACATCCTCATTGTGCCATCTTTCTTCTTCACAAATAGAACCGGTGCACCCCATGGTGACACACTAGGACGAATAAACCCCTTATCTAGGAGTTCCTGAAGTTGATCCTTTAGTTCTTTCAACTCTGCTGGTGCCATGCGATACGGAGGAATAGAGATAGGCTTGGTGACCGGTGCCAGATCAATACCAAAATCGATGTCCCTGTCCGGTGGCATACCCGGCAGGTCTGCTGGAAACACATCAGGGAAGTCCCTTACGACGGGGACGGAGTCAAGACTAGGAGTCTCAGCTCCAATATCTCTCACGAAAGCCAAATAAGATAGACAACCTTTCCCAACCATCCGCTGGGCCTTTAGAAAAGAAATCACCCTGCTGGGAACATAATCAGTCGTACCACGCCACTCAATCCTCGGAATACCCGGAATAGCCAATGTAACTGTCTTAGCATGACAGTCCAGAATAGCATGGTACGGAGATAACCAATCCATACCCAGAATAACATCAAAATCAACCATGCTCAACAGCAATAAGTCAACCCGGGTCTCCAGACCCCCAATAGTCACTAAACAGGATCGGTATACATGATCTACAATAATAGTATCACCCACCGGGGTAGATACGTGAACAGGCAAAGCAAGACAACCTCGGGTAGTACCCAGGTGATGAGCAAAATATGAAGATACATAGGAATAGGTAGATCCGGGATCAAATTAGATAGAGGCATCTCTGCGGCAGACTGAGATAATACCTGTGATAACAGCATCTGAGGCAATGGCGTCCTTCCTGTCTGGAAGAGCATAGAATCGAGCTTGACCACCGCCAGTCCGGCCTCCACCCCTGGGGCGGCCCCTGGCTACCTGACCTCCACCCCTAGCTGACAGGGCGGGTACTGATGAAACAGGAGCATAAGATGAGGGCTGATCCCTCTGCTGAGACTGACTACCACGACGCCGAGGACACTGTCTCCTCATATGACCGAACTCACCGCACTCGTAGCAACTACCCGGCGCTGGAGAAGGGGACTGATGGAAACCCCTCGCTGCTGAAGAACCCTGGGCTGAAGAGGCAGGTGTAGAGCTTTGAGCTGGAAGGGCACTAAGTGAAGTCTGGCCCTGCTGAAATCCCTGATGACCACGGCCTGAAGAGGCCCCACTGTACTCTGGACGACCTGACTGAGGAGGCCTGAAGGAACGACCTCTGCCGCGCTGGAACTGGCCCCTAGACGGAGCACCACTAAAACTACCTGAACTTCGAGGCCTCTTTGCCTCTCTCTCCTCACGCTCCCGACGGCGAACCGTCTAAATCTCTCGAGCCATGTCAACTACCTCCTCAAACGAGGCACCCATAACCCTCTCTCTGGTCATCAAAATGCGGAGTGAATAGTTGAGGCCATCCACGAACCTCCTAATCCTTTCCCGATCTGTCGGGATCATCCAAGTGGCATGCCGAGCTAGCTGCGTGAATCTCAACTCGTACTGGGTCACAGACATGTCCCCCTGAAGCAACCACTCGAACTGACGACGCAGCTCCTCCTTGTGAGACTGCGGTACGTACTTCTCCAGAAAGAGAGTGGAGAACTGTTGCCATGTAAGGGGCGCTGCACCAACCGGCCTACGCCTCTCGAAGTCCTCCCACCAGGTGAATGCAGACCCTGAGAACTGGAAAGTAGTAAAAGCCACACCACTCGACTCTAAGATCCCTGCAGTGCGAAGCATACGCTGACACTTATCCAGAAAACCCTGGGCATCATCGCCCTCAGTTAACAAATACGCATCCGTTAACAAATAATACTCTCAACCCAAATACGCAATCCGTTAACAAATAATACGATTAAAATAGCAAATATCAAGGTTCCAATCCGAAACTAAATAAATAGTACGGAAAATAATAATGAATATCCAAACATTCCCCAATAGATCTGGAGTCACGAGTCTAGAGCCTCTAGATGCAACAGAGTAATATATCCATAGTAATAAAGAAGTCTAGGATATGGAAAGATAAATGAAATAAAGGGGAGGAGTCGGGTCCTGCGGATGTCAGGCAGCTACCTCAACAACTCCTGAAAATAAACTTCACGAAAATAGCAAACAGCTCCACTAAGTCTCCAGAGCACCTGAATCTGCACACATGGTGCAGGGAGTAAAGTGAGTACTTCCAACTCAGTGAGTAATAAACATATATAATGGCTGAAAGTAAGAAATTCCGAAATATTACAATATAAAGCTATAATCAGCGATTCAGCACATAAAACGGTGGAACAACAACAATACCAGGACAAGTAAGACAAATAGGTATAAATGCATGAATGCAATGCAATGCACATGACCGCTGCGGCGCGCAGCCCGATCCATTTGGGTACTCGCGCTCACTGTGGGGGTTCAGACTCCGGAGGGGCTCCTACAGCCCAAGCGCAATATCATCGCAGCATTCGCTGCGGCGTGCATCCCGATCCACACTCAGTCCAGATATATATATGCATGCAAGCCACTCGGGCACAGTCAAATTGTTCATTTTCAGTTTCAATTAATAGGAATTATAGAGCTAAGTGTTTAAACCTTTATTTATTTACTAAACATTTCGAGGCAGTGTCTAACTCAGGACTGATATCATGAAATATGCTAAGCATCATGGAAGCAGTGATAAGGATCCCTGAAGGATGCAAATGATAGGCACAAAGCCCCAAACATATTAAAATCCAAGTAGGATGATTACCAAACAATTTCTAGTCAAGAACACAGTACGAACATCAATCGGAACGGACTAGGTCAAAATCCCCAGTCACAATCGACCCCGCACTCGTCATAGAGTACGTGTCTCGCCTCAATATAGCGTCACAATGTGATATACCGGGGCTTCAAACCCTCAGGTCATCATCTACATCTATTACTCACCTCAAGCCGGCCACAAGTCTAGCTCGCTATGCCTTTGCCTTTCGAATCAACCTCTTCGCACGCTGAATCTGATTAAAACCACAACGATTACATTACAATAGGCTAAAAAAACATAACCCAATCGAAAAGACTCGAAAAACACCAAAATTCACTAAGTTGGCAAAACCCGAGCCCCGGGCCCACTTCTCGAAAAATTACAAAATTTACATCACTGGATTCCTCGTCTCGCCACGAGTCTACACATGCCAATTTTACCAAAATCGGAGTTCAAATGCCCTCTCAAAATCCGTTTTTACATCACAACTTTTGAAGCCCTAGCGTGACCCGTTTTGATGAATTTCCACTGATTTCTATGATAAATTTACCATGAACTCGAGTAATTAAGCCAAGGAACTTACCTCCAATTGATTCTCAGTCAAAAACCTCAAAATATCTCGCCCAAAGCTCTCCAAGTCGCTTAAAAATGGTGGAAACTACCTCTTGTTCGCGGATGAAATATAATATTTTAAACCCTTCTGTCAACGGTTGATTTCGCTTCTGCGGTCCCGTTTCCGCTTATGCGGGACCGCTTCTGCGGCCAACATCATGCTTTTGCGGATTTTCATTAAAAACCCAACGTCCGCTTTTGCGTCTCCTCATCCGCTTCTGCGAACCACCCAAGACCGCTTCTGCGGTTTATAGTCCGCTTCTGCGGACTCGCATTTGCGAAAAATGTTCCGCTTTTGCGGAAACACTCCACCAGGCCATGAACCTCTTATGAGATCCACCACTCGCTCCTGCGGAACCGCTTCTGCGGTCCCTTTCCGCAGGAGCGGAAATACCAGATGACAGAAAAGCTGAACCTGCAACACACCTCAAAACTCTCGTTTAACCGCCCGAATTCACCCCGAGGCCCCCAGGACCTCAACCAAAAACACCAACACATCCTAATACCTTATTCAAACTTGTTCCAATCTTCAAAATACATCAAACAACGCTAAAACCATCAAATCACATCGAATTCAAGCCTAAGTTTCTTAAAACCTTCCGAATTACGCATTCGATCAAAAACCCGACCAAAACACTTTCGAATGACCTGAAATTTTGCACACATATCCAAAATCACCTAACGGAGCTACTGCAACTCTCGGAATTCCATTCCGACCCTCGGATCAAAATCTCACCTATCCACCGAAATTCGCCAAAATGCCAACTTTGCCAATTCAAACCTAATTCTACTCCGGACCTCCAAAATCACTTCCGATCGCACTCCTAAGTCACAAATCACCTCCCGAAGTTAACCGGATCACCGGAATTCACATCCGAGCCTTCTAACTAATAAGTCAACGTTCCGTTGACTTTTTCCAAACCAAACCTTCCTTAAAGAGACTAAGTGTCTCATTTCCTATCCAAACCAATTCAATTCAACTCTAACTCACCCGTTGCTGATAATAAAACATGAAAGAGCAATAAATGGGGGAAACGAGGCTGTAATACATGAGACGACGGGTTGTGTCATCACATCCTCCCCAACTTATACAAACGCTCGTCCTCGAGCGGGTCGAGAAGCATACCTGAGGTCTCAAATAGGTGAGGATATCTGCTCCGCATCTCCTGCTCAGTCTCCCAATAAATGGCAAAGGAAAGTGATCTTTTCTAATGGCATCATTAAGACGTCTATAATCTATACAGACTCTCCATCCTGTGACGGTCCTGGTAGGTATTAGTTCATTATTTTTATTTTTTATCACTGTCATACCTCCCTTTTTTGGTACTACCTGAACAGGACTTACCCAAGGGCTGTCTGAAATAGGATAAATAATACCTGCCACCAAAAGCTTTACAATCTCCTTTTTTACCACTTCCTGCATTGCTGGGTTTAATCTCCTTTGGGGTTGGACTATCGGTTTGTAGCTATCCTCCATGAGGATTCTGTGCGTACAAATTGCTGGATTAATCCCTTTGATATCTTCTACAGTCCATCCCAAGGCTCTTTTGTGTGCTTTTAATACTTCAATTAATCTTTCTTCCTGTTCTGTAGTTAGAGAAGATGAAATAATTACTGGAAATAACTCATGCTCAAGATAGACATATTTCAAATGAGAAGGGAGAGTTTTGAGTTCAATTTTTGGTTGAACTTTTTCTAATTGCACGTCCCCATCCTCATAATCTTTTTCCAATAATTTTGCATCACTTCTGATAGTTGGATCTTCATCCTACATTGTGCCAGATTTTGCCAAACATCTTTCCATTGAGTCAGAGATTAATTGATCATCTTTGAATTCATCTATAAGATTATTAATCATGTCAATTGAAAAGCATGAAGATGATGTATCATCTTCTGAGAATCTTAGTACCTTTTGCATATCAAAAATAACTCTTTCTTCATCAACTCTTAAAATTAGTTGTCCTTGATGGACATCTATGATTGCCCTGCCTGTTGCAAGAAATGGTCTACCCAAAATAATTGGTTCATCAGCACACTCCTTCATTTCAAGTACTATGAAATCTACAGGAAAAACAAATTTATCTACTCTTACAAGCACATTTTCAATTATTCCCTTTGGTCTCTTAGTACTTTGATCAGCAAATTGAAGTGAAACACCTGTGTCTTTCATTTCACCAAGATCTAATTTTTTAAAAATAGAAAATGGCATCAAATTTATTGAAGCTCCAGAATCACAAAGTGCTTTTTCAATGTATACTCCTCCCAGAGTACATGGAATGGTAAAACTACCTGGGTCACCGAGTTTTTGTGGTAGCTTATTTTGAAGTATAGCACTGCATTTTTCAGTAAGCATTACCACAGAAACTTCTTCCAATTTCCTTTTGCTTGATAAAATTTCTTTTAGAAATTTGGCATATGAAGGCATTTGCAATAAAGCATCAGCAAAAGGAATGTTAATGTGAATTTGTTTTAAAATCTCCAAAAATTTTGCAAATTGATTATCAAGTTTTTCTCTTTTCATCTTTTGTGGGAAAGGAATTGTAACAGGGAAAGAAGTCAAATTTTTAGTATTTTTTTCTTCTTTTTTCTTGGCTTCTTTCTCTTCTGATGGTTGAGAGGGTATCTCAACATTTTTGCCCTTGCCTACCTGTTGTTTTGATTGATTCTTTTCTTGTTTGTTTGCATAGGGTTCATCAAGAGTCATACCTGACCGTAAGGCAATGGCCTTAAGGTGTTCTTTTGGATTTTTCTCTGTATTGCTCGGTAACGGACCTTGAATCTTTTCAGACACAAGAGTTGCCAATTGGCTTAACTGAATTTCAAGATTTTTTAGAGCTGAATTTTGGCTTTCCATTTTTTCATCAGTAACCTTAATGTACTTGTACAAAAGGTCATCAAGGCTTGGATGGCCTTGTTGAGGCTTTTGCTGATATGGAGTTGCTTGCTGATAAGGCCTGAAATTTTGTTGTCCATGATTTTGATTTTGATATCCGGGTGGACTCTGTACCTGTTGCTTTTGGTAATTTTGAGAGTTTTCAGCACCATTTGCATTGCTCCATTGAAATCCTGGATGTTTTTGTGCTAATGGACTTCCAAAAGGATACTGCTTGTATCCGATGACATTGACCTGTTCATCATTTTGATTGGTTGCTTGACATTCGTGGTTTAGATGGTTTCCTCCACACAAGTCACAAGCCTCAGACTGGCTTGGTTGTTGTGTATTTACCTGAAAAGATTCAAATTTTTGTGCCAAAGAAACAATCTGTTGTGTTAGTGTATTTAAAAGCATCCACCTGATTTACTGTAGCAGCTTTCTTAATGATTACACGCTCAGATGGCCACTGTATGGCATTTTCAGAAATTTCATTAAGCAATTGCAATGCTTCTTCTGTGGTTTTTCCCATTATGGAACCTCCTGCAGCTGCATCTATTACATTTCTAGAAGATGGTTTCAAACCATGATAAAAAAATGTACAACTGCATATGTTCAGGAATGTCATGATGTGGACATTTCCTTAACATTGTTTTCAATCTTTCCCAAGCTTGATAAACTGAGTCAGTGTCAGTCTGCAAGAAGTTAGATATATCATGTCTTAACTTTGTTGTTTTAACAGGGGAAAAATATTTATTTAAAAATTTCTGAGTCATTTGGTCCCATGTGGTAATAGACCCTTGCGGCAAACTTCGTAACCAAGTTTTGGCCTCTCCTTTTAAAGAAAAAGGAAATAGCCTTAACTTAATTGCTTCAGGAGGTACTCCATTATACTTTGCAGTTTCAACCAATTCTAAAAAGTCAATGACTATGTGGATCTTCACTTAGATCACCAGTGAAAATGCAAGATTGTTGAATTGTTTGAATCAGGCCTGTCCTGATTTCAAAGTTATTGGCTGCTACTGGAGGTTTTCTGACACTAGATTCACAGTTAAAGTGATCAGGTCTAGCGTAATCCCTTAGGATTCTGTTTGCTGGTCTTGGCGCCACTTCATCAAACTGCTCCTCTACATGAGCTGGTGGTGGAATTTGTAGTGGATTGTTATCATCTTCTAATTGGTGCTCCATTCTGTTACAAGTTATGTTTTGAGACGATATTTGTCCTTTCCTGCACAATCGCAAAGTTTTTTCAATTTCAGGATCGTAATTGGCCAACTCTTTTGCAGAAGAGCGGGTCATAAACTATCTGAAATTAAAGTAAAATAAAGACAGTTCCTAAAATAGTAATAGATAGTTTTAAAAATGAATTAAAAAAAATTAGTACGGTAATATTATAGTTAACTAAAACAGTAAGTTGTAACTAACCATCAAAAGAAATAATATAATACTAATTATATTATATGAAAAAAAAAATCAATAATAAATCAAGTATGTTGAAGGATTAAAGTACTATCAATTAAAAAAAGTTGAATAAAATATTATCTTATAAAAATATAGTAAAAATAATAGTTATAATAGTAATATAGAATAGTACAAATGATACTTTTAGAACTAGAATAGTAAAAACAAGTACTAACAATTATAATAGTAGTAAAAATAATAAAATATACTTAGAAAAAAATGACAAATATAAAAATAATGAGATTGTGAATCACAAAACTAATATATTATATTATTATATAGATGGTAGTACTAACAATAATAATATAATATAAAATAAAGTAGATTGAAGTACTAACAATGAGTTTTTTTTTTTAATTTTATATGCTTTTTTACAATATTATATAGAATTGCTCCTAATAACAGTACAATTATGATAGTAGTATGTAGGAGATAACATTTTGAAGGAAAAATTAACAATAATAATAAATTCTCAAATTAGTAATAAAATATTTAATCTGAAGTAGATGTGTGCCAATCCCCGGCAACGGCGCCAAAAATTTGACGAAGCTTATGTGTATAGGATTTTCTGCTCGTACTCTGTCAAATTCTAGTATAGTTTATGATATCGTCCCACAGAGATTGGACAATCTAAGCTACAGACTTGTAATATTTTGACTACTATTTGAGAGAACCAAATTGATGAAAGGTGTGTTTGGAATTATAAATTAAGATAAATTTCTTCTGAAAAGTTTATATTTAAAAAGAGTTGGGAATCGTTGAATTCACTTGATATATCATTACAATAAAATCTCAGGTTCATACGTATTTCTCTAAAGAATAATTGTTTTTTGCTAATACAATTATATTTTTACACTAAGAAATAAATAAATAAATAACACTCCGCGAGGTTATGTCAATCATTTGATTTAAAACTAGTGACGATTAAACTGAAATATCTTACCTGAATTGTGCTCGAGCGTAGTAAAAACTTCGTGAGAATATTTTTACTAGAAAATCAATAATCTTACCTTCAACAATTTCTCCGTGAGAATTAAACTGAGGAAAGCAAGATTACAGGCTTGAAACAATAATCTTACTAAAAATTATTTTAACTCTAATATTTTGTGCTCAAGTGTAGTAAAAACTTCGTGAGAATATTTTTACTAGAAAATCAATAATCTTGCCTTCAACAATTCCTCCGTGAGAATTAAAACTGAGGAAAGCAAGATTATAGACTTGAAATAATAATCTTATTAAAAATTACTTTCACTCTAATACTCTATTCATCACTTATTATATATTAATTTTGCTCCGTGAGAATTACAAAATTAATATAAGAATAGCTTAGATATAAAATATGTAGATGTGATAATAATGATTAAAAAATCATCATTCCATCACAATATGAAATGTATATAGAGTTTCAGGCCAAGAATGTATTGAAACTGAGATAGTATTATAATTATATCAAGCTTCATCAACTATCCCAACAAAAAGAAATTACTCCATTATGAAGTAAGAAAAGCTAAAATTACTTTCAAAAGACTAAGAATATTTTTACTACAAAGAGAAATATTAGAGGAAGAGACCAAGATTACTCTTCTCTTTCTCTTTAGAAACTTAGAAAAAACTAGATAGAAAATTGGATACAAAGAGGGATGCCTTTTCATCTACAAACATATGGCTATTTATAGGAAAATTCCTACAAGGCCTTAGTGAGAAATTGCAACATAATATTAATATATCATATGGCCTTGATGAGAAATTGATATGGTAATTTGTCTTGATAGATTGGTGAGAATTTGCCATAACTTTGTATCTCTTGACTTTGTCTAGTCTTGGATGAAATTGTCACGGATGCATCATTCTTTCCTTGAGCTGTAGTTTCTTTCTTTTTCTCTTTATTCATGTATTCTTTTTCCTGCAAGAATTGTTAGAAAAGTGCGAGAATAGGATATAAATTGGTCATGTTTTATATCTAAAATATTATATTTCTTTATTAAAATATAAGAATAATTTATATCCATCAGCATCCAACAACGGTACATGGATAGTGGCTGCTTGAAACACATGACTGGAAGCACAAATGATTTCCTTTCACTCAAGGCCCTACAAGGAGGGAGTGTGTCCTTTGGAACGGCAAAAAGTCATACATTCTGGGAGTAGAAAGGATTGGGAAGTCTCTCTCTCACTCAATTGAAATGTGTGCTATGTAATGGGTTGAAATACAGCTTGCTGAGTGTTTTCCAAATCTGTGACAAGGGAAACAAAGTGGAATTTGTGTCAAAAATATGCACGATCACAAATCTTTTGACTGGTGAAGTGGTTTTGGTGTCTAAAAGATACAAAAATATCTATGTTGCTGACTTTGAATCCTTACAAAATGGGCATCTTAGTTGTTTGAGTGCTGTTGATGATGATGCTGAACTATGGCACAGAAGACTGGGTCATGCAAGTTTTACGTTACTGAAAAAATTGGTCAAGAAGGACCTGGTTCGTGGCCTGCCCAAGTCAAGCTTCAAGGATCACAAGGTGTGTGATGCACCAGGTCCTTCTTGACCAACTTTTTGGAAGACATGACTGTCGCTGGTGAAGTCATTGACATTGCAAATGGAAAGGCTGACATGATGAGCCACATCAAGGAATCAAATGAGGATGGTGCAGCTATATCTCCAACTGATGGGGAGGAACCTGGTCCCTCAATCACAACAACTGAAGCTGAGAACAGAGTTATAGATGATGTCCTAGGCACCCCACATGCTGAGCTGAGAAGCGGAACTCACGACAACAAGGATCACATTCAGAAATACCTGGACCTTCTCACAATGAGATTCATGTGTCTAACTGGAAGCACAAAAGTTCACACCCTCTTGAAAATATGATCACTCCTCTCGACTCAGGAATTCAAACTAGATTAAAGACAAGAAACTCGCTTGCCTTCTCAGCTTTTCTCTCTCAAATTGAGCCCAAAAATATCAAGGAAGCATTGAAAGATGCTGATTGGATTATGGCTATGCAAGAAGAACTCCATCCATTTGAGAGGAATAGTGTATGGCACCTGGTTCCACGACCTGCTGACCGAACCATTATAGGGACCAGATGGGTATTCAGAAACAAACTTGATGAGATTGGAAACACAACAAGGAACAAGGCAAGGCTAGTGGTTCAAGGCTACAATCAGGAAGAAGGGATTGACTATGATGAAACTTTTGCTCCAGTTGCTCGAATGGAGGCCATCAGAATCCTCATTGTCTTTGCATCTCATATGGAATTCAAATTGTTCCAAATGGATGTCAAAAACGCATTTCTTAATGGTTTTCTAAAAGAAGAAATTTTCGTCAAGCAACCACCTAGATTTGAGAGTCATGAGCATCCTGAGCATGTTTTTAAACTTGATAAAGCATTATATGGGCTAAAGCAGGCTCCTTGTGCTTGGTATGAAAAGTTGTCCAAATTTCTTCTAGAAAATGGCTTTACAAGAGGAAATATTGACAACACCTTATTTATGAAGAAACGAGAGAGGAACTTGCTCATTGTGCAAGTCTATGTTGATGTCATCATCTTCGGAGCAACAAATGATTCTGTGTGAGGAATTTGCAAAACTCATAGGAAGTGAGATTGAAATGAGCATGATAGGGGAATTGAATTTCTTCTTGGGTTTAAAAGTCAAGCAAACTCCTAATGGGACAATGATAAGTCAGCAGAAGTACATCAAAGAGTTTCTGAAGAGATTTGATATGGAAGGATAAAAAATCATTGATACTCCCATTGCCACTGCCACTCATCTAGACATGGATGAACCTAGTTCTTCTATGAATGAGACCATGTATAGAGGTATCATCGGGTCAATCATGTATCTTAAAGCAAGCAGACCAGATCTTGTTTTTAGTGTGGGACTTTGTGCCAGATTTCAATCTAATCCAAAGGAATCTCATATAAAGGCTGCCAAAAGAATTATGAGGTATCTCAAAGGCACGCATTACCTGGTTCTCTAGTATCCCTCAGGAGATAATTTTGATTTGATCGGATATGTTGATGTTGATTATCCTGGTTTTCTGGTGGATAGAAAAAACACTTCTGGCATGGCACATTTTCTGGATCTATGGCTAATCTCATGGGGTACAAGAAATAAAACTCGGTGGCTCTTTCAACTGCAAAAGCTAAATATGTGGCGGCTGCCTCTTGCAGTGCTCAACTGCTTTAGATCAAGCAGCAGCTAGAAGATTTTAGTGTATTTTCTGATTGCGTGCCCTTACTATGTGACAACACCAGTGCTCTCAACATGGCCAAGAATCCGGTTCAACATAAGAGAACAAAGCATATTGACGTGCGACATCATTTCCTGAGAGACAATGTTGAAAAAGGGCTCATCTGCATGAAATTTTGCAGCACAGAAGATCAAATTACATACATCTTCACCAAAGCACTGAGCAGAGAGCACTTTGAAAAGAGCCGTTTGGCACTAGGGTTGATAAAATCAAGCTAAGGACCTGGTTCCTCTATGATTGGCTATGAAAGAAATGAACAGATAAAATGGCTAAAAAGTATTTTCTGGCAAAGTCTAACTCATCTCTATACCGTTGTAGGTAGACACACATGACGATTACAGAGCAAACAAGTTGCTAATAGTATCGCACTTTGGTCAAAAGGATGAAGTTCACATTTACAAAATCTGTCAGGGAACCTAGTTCCTTTGACACAGGTTAGTGGTTCCTCTGTACTCTCATCCACAACTTTTTAACGGCTAAACTGGTGCCACGTCATTAAAATGTCAGTTTCTCTCTTTTCTTTTTGTTTGAACCCAAACGTCCTACCCGTTATGAAACGACCCGTCTACCCAAAATTGATATTCGTTCCTAATCGGTCCCTCATTTCTTTTAAATAAATTCACTCACGGTCACTTTCATAACTGTTCACATCACAAGCCAAAAATCCCCTTTTTCTAACCAAACACTCTCTTCTTCCATTAATTCTCACTACACTCCACCATGCCTGAAAATCTGGAAACCCAGAATGTTCCAAGTATCGTCCCCACGGTGTCTTCACCCATTGAAGCACCAGAGCTAGAGTTTACAATCCCTACATCACCCAGTCCAAACCCTAAGCTAGATTCACACCCACCTATTATTTCCTCTCTAATGCAGTCGAGTACCGGTTCTCATCGGAGTCACGAAACCTCGACTCCTAAGAAATTTGTGGCTGCGACCTCTCCTTTTGCCTCACCGGAAAAAATGTTCGAAGAGGATACAGTGGAGGGAGAAGAAAATCAAGAAATTTTTAGTTTAACAGTGGAAGAAAGTTCTGAGATACAACAAGGTATGGCTCGTAATAGTGATGAATCGGCAATGACTACCCCAGGCCTTAATTTGAATGCTGCTAATTCTATAGGTAATGCTCTTCCTATGCCTTCTAAGTTTACTTTGGAGTTACAAGAACAAAAGGCTATAGAAAATATGTTGTCAATAGCTGCTGAGGGAAGTCTGGTTGGAGGTTATGAGGGTGTGTCTGAAACCAATGGGTCTCAGGGGAAAGATAACGGTACAGAGGTAGAGGGTAGGGAACTGGTGCATGTCGAAACCTTGGCACCTGACAGTACTACTAGGGAACCAACTGAGGGACCTGATCCCTCCGCCCAAGAGGATCCCTCTACTTCTACTTGGGATAAAACCCCTGGTTCTCCACAAGAACCCCACGTCAGTACTGATCTCGCTCCCTCTCCTCATTTCTATACTGAACCATTGTTAATTGTTGTTCCTGGAATGAGATCTCTATTTGAGGAGGAGAATGAGGATAGTGACGAAGACTATGACAATGTGGCTCTTGTGAGCTTCATTAGTGCTAGGAGTAGAAAGGCAACTCCCAGGAGTCAACTCCTATGAGACCTACCACTAGGTTGCAGAAGAAGGAAGCTCTTGAGTCAGTCCTAAGGAAAAACAAAGAAGAAAAGAAGAAGAGGAGATTGGTAAATAATGGAAAGGCTGTAAATGAGAAGGTAGTGCCTCCAGCACTAGTTGTTGATATTGTTGATGAGGTGAATGAGGAACCTGGTTCCCTAGTTCGTAAGTCCTCAAAGAAACCTATAGTTCCAAAGTTTAAGAAAGAGTCATCTGTGAGTGAGATGGGTTTGAGCAATGTTGAGGGTGAAAAATCTGGTGAGAGAGTAGTTGAGAAGTCTGGTGAAAGAGTGGCTGAGGAGTCTGCTGAGAAGGTGTCTAAGAAATCTGCAGACAAAGGGAAGAGTGTGAGAAAATCAGTGAAAAGGAAGGCTAGTGCCAGTGAGGAACCTGGTTCCTCCAAGAAGGCCAAGGTTGGTGCAACCCACGATGTTAGAAGGGAAAATATGAGAAACCAAAAGGTGCTGTGGGCCACACATTTGCTCCTGATATTCTTGACCTATCAGGAATACGCAACTGGCTAATATCTATGAATTCCAACAGTGGGCACATTTGTTCACAAGTGACAGTCCCAAAGTGTATGAGGTAGAAGTGTGTAGTTTCTATGCTGACTTCTTTAAAGTTGAGGATGATAACATCTGTCTGAAAGTGAATGGTGTTAATTTTGTGATGGATACTGCTATACTGGGAACCATTTTGACTGTGCCTACTGCGGAATATCCTCCATTGAGGGAACCTACTCTTCAAACTTTAGAAATACCATCTTGAAGGATAAGGCATTACAGCAAGGGGGCAGGTACACAAGAAGGCCCTCCTTCTAGTGTACCAACTGCTGTTTGAAATGGTGAACAAAGTTCTGCTCCTACGCGCAGAAATACGTTCCATTACGTCGCGAGCGGACTTGGTTCTCATGGAAGCACTAGATAGCTACACCACTATAAACCTGCCTGGTCTTATAATAGAGCACATGAAGAAAGTGACAGAGTTCAAGGATGGTAATCATGTGCCTTACGGGTTCCTCCTCACCAAGGTTTTTGAATTCTTCAAAGTCTCTTTGATGAAGGACAAAGTGGGTACTCGCAAGCAAACTTTCTCCAAGATCACCCTCGAAGAGTGTGAGCGCATTGATAGGACTGGAGGGGTCGGCATCAATTCCACTATCTCTCAGTTGATCAACGCTCAGAATAGTGCCGCTGAAGAGATAAGGAAGCTGAAGGCATGGAATGCCATTCTCAAAGGGCAGCTCAGTCAGGTCCAGGAGGCACCTGGTTCCAGCAGTTCCCAAGCACAGAGATTGCCCTTCTGACGAAGGAAAATGCTGACCTCAGAAAACAGGTTAAGGACCTGAAGGGGAGGTTGCTCAACGAGCAGGCGTAACAAATGCCTGCATGGACATCCTCCTTAGAACCCTTGCCTCCTCATCTTGGACTTTCCCTGCCAGTGCTCCTTAAAAGTTGTTCCCTTCCCAGTGTCAAGTTCATAGTGTGTGTCCTCTGTTTCAGTTCCCTGTGCTTAGAGATGTTTATGACTGGTACCTTTTTGTTGTTTTTATTTTGTGGGTGATTTGGTAACAATGGAACTGCTCCCTATGTTATTTTCAAAAATTAATGAAAATTCCGTCCTTTTGTTGTGCATGACTTGCTCTTCTGCTCTGTTTTTAGTCATGTATGTGTATGCGCATGTGGCATGAGTTAACCAAGCTAGACCTTTTTTTTGCTTATTGCTTGCTACTGATCTTTTTATGATGCCAAAAGGGGAAAATTAATTGTGGGGGAACAAGATGGGGAACAGATTCAAGGAGAATACAGGAAATATGTATGTCATTCTGGTTCTTAGGGGGGCTTCAATTATAAGTTTGTCATTATCAAAAAGGGGAAAATTGATAGGTTATATGCATCCTTGTTATGTTTTGATGATCTAACAAACTTAATAATAAGAACCAGATGAGGAACCTGTTACACATCCTTAAGTACTTAAGAATAATAAGTCTCAAGCTGGGGACGTGGTTAAGCTTTTCAGAGTCAGAGAAGCAACAAAGGGAACAGATGGACACCAGTTCCCTTGGTGACTGTACCAGTCAACCCCCCAACAGTTGTAAAGTTGTTGCATGCACACGCAACATTGCAACAGTTTAACTTTATGATGCCCTTGTACCAAACATGCATGCATCATTCAAGTGATGTCACCTATGTAATATTAACATTGAAGCAAAGGCAAAACATCACTTGAACATTCAAGAATCAATCAAGCATTCTCTAAAGTGAGCGTCAATCCTGCAAGTGATTCTCAAGGGCATCAAGAACAAAGAACAACATAACAAAGGACCGGTTCCCTGTATTGAGTCATTACATGTCCTTAGTTGTGTTGCACCTTTGTTAAAGTACTTACCTTGTAATTCCTACTTAGCTTAGTTAGAAGCATTGTGTAAGAAACCTTTGTAAAATCATAAACCTTGTGTTTGTGTCTTGGCTAAAGTTAGTCGAGTTGTAAGCTTTGTAATAGAGTTATTACAAAGGGGCTTGTAATAGAGTTGTTACAAGTTAGTGAGGGATTAAGAGGTTAATTACTAGGTTACAATAGGTTTTAATCTGAAGATTGCTCAGTAGTGAAGTTGAAATCCTACAAGGGTAGATCGTGGTTTTTTAGTCCCGTGAGTTGGGAGTTTTCCACGTGAAACTCCATTGTGTCATTTACT